AAAGTGCTTTAGCTGGAAACAGGAGCACACAGTTTGGTTTGCCACTCAGCGTTTCTCCTTCAGCACTGGAAGCTGAGCAGCCAGGCTGAGGATTTTGCTACCACCCTGGTGCAGGAGATGCCATCTGCCAAATGTCCTCCTGAGTGGTGGTTTAGCAAGTGGGCTAAAAAGAACATCCTGTACATAGCAGCTGAAGTCCATCACAGCTGTCACAGGAACATATACACACAACCTGGGCTGGAGGTGGATTCTGGCTCTGGAGGGAGGCTGGGCAAGTGGCCAATAAGCCTTTCTTACTTGTCCATGTTTCCCTTTGGGGAAAGGGATTCCTGGCTTAGCATGGAATTACTCTGGGGAGCAAGATGACACCAGGGAGTATTAGCATTCACTCATCCCAGGTGCACCCCACCCAAGAAGATGCATACTCCATTAAATGAGTTCTCCAAGGCCTTGTGGCCAGTCTTGATTTCTTTGAGGTCACTGACATAAGTCCTATCTGCTCAAAAAAGCAGCATGTCCCTTGTGGTCTTTTATGCAAGAGCAAACAAGCTTCCTGGGAAGAGGAAAATAAGAGAGGAAATTGTCTCCATCCTTTATTTACTTCCCTGTTTTCTTCTCTTGTCACCCCGTCCCCCTTACTCATCCACCCACTTCTAATGCCTCCAAGAGGACATTCCTGCTCCAGGGTGTGGTTTTTTCTTGGAGGTTTGGAGGGGTTACTGAGTCTGACTTGGGGGGTCACTGGGGCTCTGAGGAGGGCAAAGCTGCTGAGGTCCAAATTCTTCCTGATGATTTCCTGTGATAGTTAATTAGTAGCCTCCCCACATTTCCATGGCAACTCCATGCTGCTCTTAGCCCTGATCCAAATGGGCATTCTGTACACTTCTGAAGCTGGCACATCAGCATATTAATAGGACTCGCTGACATCCTTTGCTTTCTGCCACATTGGCTGGTAAGTCTAAATCTGAATAACTTAAAAAAACCTCATTTCTTAGTAAGTTCCCAGTGCATTCTCTCATGTGACTTAAAGCAACTGATCCCAGAAGTCTGTGTTTGAAGGGAAGAATCAGGTAGATTCTGCTTTACTTGTTGCTTTTTGCCATCCTTTGCCTTTGGGAGACCTGGCATCTGTCTTTTTTTTTATTTTTATTTTTTTCCTGAGTTATTTGGAAGCCTCAGCTTTCATGCAGCCCCTCATTTAACTGCAGCAAGGGACAAGAATCTGCCATGATTTGGTAGGATCATCTTTGTATTAGCTGAGCTGGACAATTTTAGGGATTAGTCCCTGAGTCTTTCTTGTACAGAGGAAGGAAGCTGAGTTTCATTCTCATATAGTCAGAGAATGGTTACTCATAATGAATGTCCCTTTTATCATTAAACTCTCTAACAATACTTACTGATCATGCAGTTTAGTGAATCTAGTTTTATGGGTGAAAGAATTCTCTGGGCCCCAGCTAATTCTCCTCTACTAATTACCCTCCATTCTAGTCATTGTCTTTTAAAACATTGTTTTCTGACCAAGTGGAGGACTTGCATATAATTTCCTCAGAAGCCCATTAACACCACTTTAGCACTGGTATGGCCTCTCTAGAGGGATCTGTACTTTGTCTTATGGAGACAGAATCATGCCAGATGCCTCCACATCTTCTGTTGCTTGCAGAACAAATAACCTAAAACAAACCTGTGGGACAGATCCTGTGATCTGGCTGTCACAGGCTGTTTTACCTGGGGAAGAGCTTATGGGATTGAGCAGTGAAAACAGACCATGTGCCACGTTTATGGCAGACATTTCTATCATCAAAAGCAGAGTGTAGCATGGTCCAGGCCACATTTGACTGGGTTGTTTGGTTTGGGTTTTTTTTTTTATCTTTTTCTCTCTGACATAAACTTAGATCCCCAAATGGTAGCTGAGCTGACAGATAACTCCATTTTCCCCCACCCTGAAGGACAAGGGAATTTATTCTTGACATTTCAGCTTCATTCCATCACAAAATTTCATCTAGCCATGTTGCAACATGGCTCCAGATGGTTGTGTTGATATTGCATCATACCTTGGTGCCACATTGCACCACCAGGTACTCCCAAAGAAAGTTCCATATGCTGACAGCATATCTATGCCAAACTTCCTTCCATCTCCCTACTCTGGTTTTCTATGCTTCAGCTTCACCTCTCCCAGCCATGGTGGAAAAGCTATCTCATGTTAGACAACGCCTCTCTATCTCCACAGCTGCCTACCATTGCTTGAGTCTGAACTGGACAGCAGTGATTTAATATTCTTGTTGGTGCCCAGAGTCTTGCAGTGTTGCCCTTCTTGCTGAAGCCCAGTAATACTGGGGGATGAACATCCCAAGGCATCGTTAAAGCTACATGAGAGCAATTGATTTGATCCCTACCAGTCCCACAAATACGGGTCAAGATTTCACTAGTATGTTGCTAGTTACCCACGAGATCTGAGATTTAATTGCAACTTCTTTGGCTTCTAGTCACTAAAGCTGGATACTTATCTCATAGGAAAGCAATTTATCAAATTAATTTCACTTTGTGTTAGCACGTTCACTATTCCCAGCCCTGAACAAATCCCATCATTGAATGCAGACTGCATCTCAGGCTATAGGTTACTCATAAGTAGTATTCAGTATTTTTAGAGCAAGAACTCTAGCTCTTTTCAGTATTAGCTCTTTGGGTCACACATGTAAATTAAACTGTACATTTCTATTCCCTACTTGGATGGATGTAACTGTCAGGAACATTATTTCCACTCATAATTACAAATTTGACATTCATTTCCCATGAATACTCTCTACTATTTGCTTAAAACTAACTTCCATGCATACTATTGGTGGTGAATTTTATCAGAAGGCTGATGCAGGAATGTCACAACTATAAAGAAACCTTTTTGGATGGTGGGGGATTGGACTAGATGATCTTTCGAGGTCCCTTCCAACCCCTAACATTCTGTGATTCTGTGGGGTCTATAAGAATGAACCTCTACTACATAAACCAAAGACCAATAAAATGAAAAACAAACACTTGGCAACCTTGCAACATCTTGCATGGACTGGCCAGTAGAAATGGAAAGAGACCTCAATGTGAGTTATGGAAAACACAAAGTTACCGTCAAGGGAAAGGTATGGATGTCCCTAGAAACATCTTAGTTGTTTGATTTATCCAGACAAAGACTGATGTGTACTTTTGTGACTAGAACTCCTTTTTGTTTTCTTACTAACTACTCAGCCAGTTTCTCTTATGCCCTCAATTGCTAGTTCAGCATTTTTTTTTTCAGCAGGAGAGTTCAGTGAATGTGTATTTTCCTTAAGGTATCTAATTCCTTCTCAGTTCAGATAAGCATCAACCAAAATCACACAAATTAAACTAAACCTGAAGCCAAACTTAATTGTCCAAGTCCCTGGTGTCACATGAATAACACAACAAAGCATTTAGCTCTTTCCAGAAGAACTGATGTTATTCACAGAATCTGAGCCAAAGTCTCCAGATAAGAAGGTCAAAAGTTCTACAAGACTATTTTGAACTCAATTGAATCAACTTATTAAATCTCGAGCCAGGTCTGAATCTTGGACATTGGATCAGAACTGTCCTGCATGCTCAGGCCTGGTTTTCCCCAGGATACTCCTCCAGCTCTAGAAGCCAACAGGATCAGAGATTTATTTCTTCCTTCTAGGAGAGCAGAAACTCTAATTTGTCACTAGCACTTCTCACTACCAGCTTTAAAAAACAGTGAGATTAAGAGAAACACCCCACAACTCACCTCCCACTCTGTTCAGGCTTGATCACCCAGCTCCACTGATCCTATATTCATACACTTCATTCAATATATTATTTTTTTAAATCCAAACACACATGAACACACACTCCACAAAATTTTACCCACTTTTTAGTTATTTTAGTTATTTTTTTGATAACTCAACCTTTTTAGATTTGACTTTATCCTTGCAAATTCAGGATAGATTTGGTTATTTTGCTTTTCCCTCCCACCTCTCCCTTTTATTACTTTTACAGATATTTTAATAAAATTTTCTCATCTGTTTTCTGATTTTTTTTTTTGTGGACACAGAAATTGTAAGTGAAACAATTCACAGCCATGGAAGCATGAGAAAGTAAAAGGGTTTGTGTTTTTTTTTTTTTTTTCCTTCTCCAAAGAACAAAAATGACATGTACCTTTCAATTCCACTGGGTTTCCTTGGAAATGCATTTTCTTGCATTGTGCTTTGGTTTTTGTGGTGATGAAGGTTTCCCAATGTTATTGGAAAACCCAGAAGCTGAGGCAAAAAGCCAAACTCAGGTTTGTCTTTAAGTCTAGGTTTATCAAAGTAGCATATGATTTTTGGCTTTCTCTGTTTTATCCTAACCAAACCCAGGACAAGGGACTCTGTTGAAATACCTTAAAGACACCTCTGAAGATTTACAGTTGCTGGTCTTCAAGGGGTTAAACTCTGACATCACTGAAGGCAAGGCAGTCTGATGCAGGGCATGAACTCCAGCTCCCCAAAGTAGTCAAAGGGACCTGACTGGTCCCATTCTTCAGCAAGTGCTGAGACTCTACCTCTGGTGAAAAGTCTTATCCCAAAGTGAAGACACCTGAGACCTGTACCCACCCTCCACCTCTTCTGTGTCTTCTCACCAATGAGGCGTTAGCTTTACTCTCAAAGGACTGCCCTCACCTTCTGTCCTCCAGCAAAGCTCAGCACAGGCTGTGTGAATAACTCCACATAAAGCTGGCATAAATCTCAACAGAAGAAATATCTTTTATCTGTAACCATTTCCTCCCACTATAGGAATAATGGCAGTTCTTTTACATTTACATATAACTCTTGTTTGTTTGTTTGCTTAGATTTTTTTTTTGTCTCTTTATCTTGGCACCTGCATAGCAGAAAACTTTACAGTTCATTACAGAAGCTTGCCCCTCTCTCTGCTCCTCCCTTTATTTACTCTGCTGCCCCTGAGGACTAGCAAGCAACACCCCCAAGGTCAAGAGAGAGTAAGGTGTCACCCTTTTATGACGGATTATAGAAATAACAAACATGCCTGACAGTTTTATACAGCTGCTAGAACGGGTTTAGTTTTCAACAAATGAAGAATTTCCTCTTTTTTTCCTCTTTTGTATATTAATTACATTTTACAAATCATGTTTCCCCTCTTTCTTTACTTTTCCCCCCACTTTTCTTTCTTTCTTTTTACTTTTTTCTCTTTTTTTTTTCCACTTTTATTTATTGTATATTAATTACATTTTACAAATCATGTTTCCCCTCTTTCTTTACTTTTCCCCCCACTTTTCTTTCTTTCTTTTTACTTTTTTCTCTTTTTTTTTTTCCACTTTTATTTATTTTTTTTTTAATTTTTTTTTTACAGCAAAAGGATCAATCACCAACATGTCCACTGAAAAGTCTGGGTTAGCAGAGTTTGGCTGTCATCTGGTCTGACTGTTTGAGGATCTCAGTGTTGTACAGGTCTAGAGCATGGTTCACACGGATGATCTCGCTGTTGGTGAGTTTCAGGCGGTGCTTGAGCATACAAGAGAACAGATCCAGCTGGGGCTTCCCTGGGGCCACTGGAGGTGCCAGTCTATTGATTCGGTCCCGAATATCCAGCAGCAAGAGCATGACGGAGGAGGAAGAATAGAACTGCCCACCTTGTGTGTAGGACTGGTTGACCTGCTGCACAGCACTGCGCAGTAGGTCGGCGTTAAAACGCAGGCTGTAGCCATACACCTGCACATCCGAGATCTTGATGTAGAACTGACGCTTGGTGGGGTCAGAAAGGTCCACGGGCCCTTGGCCAGTCTCATTACGCAGCAGGGAGGGCAGCCGAGTCCGGCTGCGTAGGTAGATGTGGACGGTTTCGAAAAAGGTTTTCCACCGGTTGCCCAGTAGCAGGGTCCAGTTGTAGCACTGGCTGTTTTGGAGGCGGATTTTCTCCCAGCGTGGGTAACCGTACTCCCCAAAGGGCATGTTCCAGCCCTCGGAGTGACTCCCGCTGAATGGGTTGACATAGACAAAGAACATAGGGTCCAGGCTGCTGTTACGCATCTGGCAGATTCGCATGGAGATCCCGATCACCATGTGGATGAAGTCCATCCGGTTCTTGTTGCTCTTCAAGGTGAGGGACATGCGTTTGCGCCACCTGGGGTCGAAGAAGGTGTCCAGGCGGATCTCGTTGCTGATGAAGGTGGTGTGCACATACAGGCGAGAGTCCATTTTCTGCAGCAGGTACTTCAGCTCTAGGTCCTGGAAGTCCAAGTCTGTCTCAAAGCTGATGAACTGCTCACTCCGCTCCGAGTCTACATTCTGAGGCTCGCAGCGACCCCGGTAAAGCTTATAGCCCTTGTTGCATGAGCCGCAGAGAGAGATGTTGGCAAGGCTGCACATGGCACAGCTGTTGTTGCCCCCAATGATGCAGGGGATGGGGCGCTGGCACAGGCTGGTGCCACCATGGCAAACGCAGCTCCGTTGGCTTTCCAGAAAGGTCCCCCAGAACCCATTCTCATTGCAGTAGAGCAGGGACTGGACCCGAGTAAGCCATTCCTGTATTGTCCTGCAGGTAGGAAGAAGAAAGCATTAGCATTGTAGAGCCCCACAGAGTCTTTGGCATTGGCATCTTACTGAAGCCACAGTATTTTCAGGGATATATCTTAGGCAGAGCTCTCAGAACATCGATGCCCTACTGTGGCATCTGGGAGCTATTCCAGTCTATTTTGAGACTGAATCTTTCATCTGCTGTTTGTTTACTCCTTTGGTGGAGAACAAAAGCCCTCTAGGAAATAGCTAGAAGTTAGGATTGATCATCTGAAGTATTTTCTTTTCACACTATTCTAGGAGCTGAGAGTGGCACAGTCTCCTGCCAAGGATTCCTTCAGTGACAAAGTTCAACCATGGGAATGGAGCTGATGAAGCCATGCCAGAGACTGAGGTGCTATCAGATATTGCAGGTCAGTATAACTTCTAGGCCAGTAGAAGAAAACTCCTCTCCGGGTCATTGGCAATTCCCCCCACTCTCCAAAACCAGACCTGTAATGGGATGAGGCAAAGCCAGTAGTAACCTGTGCTTATGGCACAGAGCTCAGTAACAGCAGAAAAGAAGGTGGAAGTCAGGGCACATAGAGACAAAGCTGCTAGAACAGCTTCTCCTTTAAAAAATCCGCTGCTAATTAACCTCTGCTCACAGCCTCTCCCTTTAACAAGCAGCCACATTTGCCCATTCCCAAGCCCCACCACTCCCATAATTGCTATATCAGCACCCTCATCTCCACATCCTGCAACCCTGGAACCACTCCTAATGAATGACACCGTAACCCACGTTTGCTTTTTTGTATAACCCACTTGCAGTGTTGCCTTGCTGCCCCTTCTTTCCCCCTCCCCAGGAAATCTCAGCACAGCAACTCCTTTCTCAGCAGCCTTCAGCAGAGAGCCTTGTTCAGCTCCTGTCCCTCCCCTCCGCCTTCCCCCCAGCTAATGAATACTTCATTGTCTCCTCTGGGCAAAAAGTTCTTGGTAATGCAGCAGTGAGAGGACTGGCTAATGACAAATTAGGATTCAGTCCCTGTAGAACGGGAGGAGTGATTATGGACAGAGGCTCTCAGAGCTGGATTAGTGAAATTCATGGCACCTGCATCGCCTGACCTCCGAATAATCATTAAGCTGGAGGCTGTATCAAAGAAGGCATTAAATGATACAGCAGCAAAGAACAGCAAGATGATTAGGGGGAGGGAGAAAGTAGAGGGATGAGAGTATAAAACATAGGAAAGCACTGGAAGGAAAGGAATAATCAAGGAGCAAAAGCTGAAAGGGTAGGTGAAGAAAGAGGGGGAAAACGTGCAGGTAAAAGGATTTTTTCCTGAGAGAAATGCAGTGGGCAGGAGGAATGGGGATGGAGAAAGGGGAAAACTGAAGCAACAGCTGAAAGACAGAGGACAAGCAGGGATGAAAAGAATCAGGAAGAAAGGAGAAAAAAAATGAGACAGAGGGAGGAAAAAGGAAGTGCATTAGCAGGAAAATTCTGAAGCCCTGGGTGTAGGAAGAGACAATTTTCACATTTCTCCTGTGACACAAGACTGCCAGAGTCTCTTTCCCCTTTTCACAGCTAACAGAAGCTCTCCTGCTGGTGGAAAAGACAAGGTTGGCTGGGGATCTTGGGAGCAAGGCAGTGACCTCTATAAATAGCTGCTGTAGAGGGAGATGGTGACAGCCCTGGCCCCTAGAAAACGCACAGGGCTCCTCCTGGTTTGCAGGACAGCTCTGTTTGGGAGGGGAGGGGACAGCACAGCACAGTGTGACTGCAAAGCACACTGATAGCAACAAACACTCTCTCAGAACCGTCTCCTGGGGACTGAGTCTGCCCTCTGCTCATAGGTGAATTTTTGGTCACATTTTCAGCAATACAAATATTTTTTTATCCCATCTGAAGCCTTGTAGCTCCTGTTTGGAAAACCAGCCAAATGCACTTGAACTTAGCAAGGCACCCAGATTCCAAGTTTCAATGTTCCTAAGGTGCTGTGAGCCCACCTTGATTCCTCCATGGACCTCCTTGAAAGCTTCCTTCTTTGCTTCTAACCACTAATCTAAGCATGCAGCTGAGGGATGATGAGCAAGTGGAGGTTGAACTAAAATCCAAGCAACCCCCCCAGTATAGGCACACTGGCTGCCTGGGTTCACTGGGTTGGGGGAATTGCTTAAGGGAAGCACAGGTTTCTTCTATGTTGCTTCTTACATGATTGGGCTTGATGACAGTGATGAAAAAACAGATGTTGCTTTGAAGGTAGCATCTCCTGCAACCTCAAGCTTTGTCCCTATCTCCCACTGTAATTTCTACCAAGACAAGGACAGGGAGAAGTGCAGTAGCACAAAGAAAAGGAAGGGCTGAGGTAGTAGGCTGGTGGCAGATAGGTGTCTAGCTCCACCAGGTACCCTCTCAGCATCCCTACCCTACCCATGAGGTAAGGACAGTATTTCCCTGATTTCCACAGGGAAAATCATCTCTCCATGGTCACATTTGTTGTTTTTTGTGGTACTAGACTTCCAGATGAGGTAGTAACGGTTACTCATAGGACTAAAGGTGGTTTCTGAGGTGGGTTTGAAGAGGTTTTTGACACTGCCAGAGGAGTGCCTGTGTGCACGGACTGCCACTGCTTTTGTACAGATGCCAACAGCCTCGCACAGCTGCATATGCAGATGACAGCCAAACACATGCTGAGCAGCTACCATGCATGGATCTCAATTCCAGCTCTGTGCAAGTGAACGTGTGTCTCCTGATTTCCTCAGGCACTCGCTCATTGTATTCCCAGAGTATTTATGCAGCACTAGTTTGATTCTTTACACAGGTTTTACATGTTGCTAATGTCATTTGAGTTCATGGGACAAGGACTGCCAGGCTATACAGCAGAGGACACATTAAAAATTAGAGCCAGATGACTATATCCTGTCTATCTTAGGTGTGTTATGTCTTATAGGAAAAAAAAATTGCTATCTTTCTGTCGTTCTGTTATAGAAACAGTCAGCAGAGCAAAATGAGAAAGGAGTCTCATCTGGTATCTTGTAATCAAAACTCATAATTTTCCTGTTCCTCAGATCAACTTTGTAGAGGAAGGATGGGAGGAGATCAGGAGAAAGAGTTGGGTTTTCTTTAGGGGGGATGTAAGCCTTTGCATTCAGCAAAGACACAAGTAGGACAAAAAAAAAAAAAAAAGAAAAAAAAGAAAAAAAGAAAAAAAAAAAAAAAAAAAAAAAAAAAGAAAAAAAAGAGCTACCCACCATCTGCTGATGGCAGCAATAAAGGATGTAATTAAATGAAAATGCAGAATCCAGGGCAGAGCTGGGCATCGGCTACAAACATGACAATGGGAAGTGTGATTGACTGAGAGAGGAAAAGAGGAAAAGTGGGATAAATTACCCCATTTTGTCTTGTAACTGGGACAAAATAAGAATATGAGCAGAACAGGTCCCAGTCCCAGTCCTTCAGCTGACAGGAGGTAACTTCTTAAAACACACACCCGTGACAGCTCAGACTCATGGGAATAAAACCAAGAGATGTCAGGGTGTAAGGAAACTGAAAAGAGCCACTGTTTGAAAGCTGAAAGCCAGTAGCACAGTAGCCATTGGTTTTCATTTTAATTATTTTCTCTTTCATTAAGGAATCATCAGTTTATCTTTCTCCCTCCTTCATATAACTATAAAAGTTATTTTGCCTAAAGTTTGCTACCCCTGCCAGTTCAAAGTGCTAAAGCATATGAAATTAAAAAAAAGGAAAACTGCCTTCAAAGGTCACTGTCAAGCAATTTTACATTCAACTTTAATATCTTACATTCCAAACTAAAATTAAAAAAAAAAAAAAAGTCACCCAGGCAAAGCTGTGAGTGAGAATTATTTCGCAGAGTTTTTTTGCTGTTGCTCAGTGAAGCCACACAGACCTCTGACAATGCTGGGAACTGGGAGCCAGGTAATCATCAAGAGTTGTTTCACCATTTAAAACCTCTCTCTTGTGACACACACACACACACACACAAAAAGTTTTGCAGGACAGTGTTAGATCAGAAGCAGAGGTCAGGTTAAACAGAAAGGTGATGAATAATTGTCTTTCCTCCTGACTTGTCATCTTTCAGGATTAATCAGGTCTGGGGAGGGGAAGAGGCTGATGGGTGTCCCTTGAGGCAAAGATGCAGCTTTGTTGTAGATGGTGTCTGAGCTGATCAGAAAACCAAACCATACCAAAACAAAACCAACAAACAAACAAACAAACAAACACCCCAATCAAAAACCTGATCCAGAAGGACGGATTTTTTTTTTTATTTTTTTTTAATTGAAAGAAAAAAGATAAGTTTTTAACAAGTTTTCCTTTACAAACTCACCTTTCACTTTCCAACCAACACTACCTGCTGTGGAGATACTTTGGGACTTTCCATATGGAAGAGTGAAATAAAAAGAATGCTATTTTTATTCTCAGCAGCTGGGAGATGTATTCTTAACTAATGACAATTTGGCTGGAGCCCAGAATGTGTATCAACCCCTCCCTTTTTTGGATGTTTTTTCTATTTTACATCCAGGGTTTTAAAAAATGCAACTAGAGGTAGACGTTCAACATTGAAGCTTTAACAACTGAGGAATTGTTTCTTTTTTAAACCACCAAACTTGTCTGCAAAGAGGTGTTTTTTAAGCAAAAGCAGAGCAGAGCAAATATATACATATATATATTTAT